GCTCCCGGCCACCGCAGCCTCGACCCGCTGGGCTCCGGCGATCCTTCCGCCTCAGCCTTCCGAGTAGCCGGAATTACAGGCGCGCGCCACCATGCCCGGCTGATTTTTTGATTTATTTCAGAGATGAGGTCTCGCCTGCCCAGGCGGGTCTCGGACCCGCGGGCTCAGGCAATTCATTCACCTCAGCCTCCCAAAGGCGCGGGATTACAAACTGAGCCACCGAGCCCGGCTCAATCTCTTTCTTATAGTATTATAATTGTTCAAGGTTCACTTATGAGTGAGAACATATGGGACTCTATTCTTTGTTGCTGTGATAGTTCACTGAGTAGGATCGACTCCAAATCCATTCAAGTTACTGCGAAGTCCGTATGTTTGTCCTTCTTTATGGCTGCACAATATTCCATTGTGTATATGTACCGCATTTTTTTTAGCCAGTCCAGCTTCGATGGGCAACATGGTTGGTTCCATGTTTTTGCTATTGTGAATAGAGCTGCAACAAACATTTGTGTGCAGGTATCTTTTTTGTAGAATGATTTGAGTTCCTCCAGGAATATTCCCAGTAGGGGGATTGCTGGGTCATATGGAAGGTCAATTTTTAGTTCTTTCAGAAATCACCACACTGTTTTCCATAGAAGCATCAGCAGTATAGAAGCTCCCTTTTCTCCACATCCTTACCAGCATCTGTTGTTGTTTGTTTTATTAATGATGGCCATTCTTACTAGGGTTAGGTACCACATAAACATTCTTATTCACCCTTTCATACATGGTCATTATTTTCAAGAGACTTCACAACTTTTTAAGCTCTTTTGCAATTTGAATAATAGATGAGGGTTTTTCGCCCCCTAGTGGCTAAAAGCAGTAACAAGAATTAGACGAGGAAGAAAAAATATTGAAGCACGGTTTTAATACGTGAAATTCTTCTTCCTCCCATATAAAATGTCTGATTTTTTCATCAAAGGGAGGGATATAGAATCTGAAGAATAACAGTTCTCACTCTGAGACATTACAAAATTAGATTCAAGGGGTACATGCACAGTTTTGTTCATGAATATATTAATTAATGCTGGAGTTTGGGCTTCTATTGAACCCGTCACCCAAATAGTAAACATAGAAAACATAGGTAGTTTTTCAATCCTTGTGTCTCTTTGTTTCTCCCGTATTTTAAAGTCCCCAGTGTCTCTTGTTTCCAGCTTTACATCTATATGCATCCCTTGTTTAGTTCCCACTTAAAAGTGAGAACATGTGAAACTTTGATTTTCTATTCCTGCATTGAGATAAAACAATTTTTAAAATTAGTTGGCTACTACCCACTTTAATATCAGTAAATTGCAGGGGAGACAAGAGTACTCTAAAACAAGCAAGAATGTTTATAAGAATAACTTTCTGTAATTAAAAAAAGAAACAGAGAAGTAAGTAAAATTGGGACCCTTATTTTTATTCTAGCTTTGTGACTCTAAACAACTCATCTAACTTCTCTGTGTCTTAGGTTTCTAATATAAAAGCAAAGTAAAACAAATTGTAGAGTTAGAAGACACTTTGGACATCATCAAACTCAAGCCTTCCTTAAAAGAAGAGAAAACTAAATCCCAGAAAGGTTGAATAAAATCATAGCAAGAATCAGGCGTATCCTCTAAGTTCCCCTTCAACTTAGTCTACGACCTAAATCAAATATTTATGTATAAAAATTAAATGATGGCAAAACAATTTGTAAAGAAAAATGGATATCTATGGTCTTCCATATTTCAAAAATCAAATCATCAGGTTGATGTTGCTTGACAGATACCCACCAGCAGGTGAGGTAAAATTACAGTTCTGAGGCTCCCTGAGTAGGGAGGGGTTGAAAAACGACACCTGACGACACCTGAAGGGTCAACAACTGAACGAGAAGGATTGGGGCAGGAGGAAACGCTTCAGTGGACCCCACAGGAGGTTCTGAAACTGATTGTCCAGAGACAAGGGGAGAGGCTCATGTGGATTGGTCACTGGGTGCAGACTACCCTGGAGAAGGACTGTGACCGTAAGCAAAACAAGAACATTTTCCAGAGATAATTGAGAACTTAGGGCTGCCATCTGGCAGCATTCCTGACAGCCCAGAGGAAATGTGAAGAATAAGTCCTTCCATCTGAAAGGGGAATCTGGGCAGGGTATCACAGCATCCATTATGGTAGACAAGCCCAAGGGGGTAGCATAGTCTCTCAGCCTCAAACACAGCCTGATGGCAGCATAGAGGCAGAGAGGAGCCAGCATTGGTGATAGGTTTTTGCATGCCTGGGAGACTAGAGCTCTACCTTGGTTATCTTTACACTCGCACAGTGCTCAGTGAATGTAGAAATCAGTGGAGTCGGGCATGAATTTAAATCTTGACTTCACCCTTTGGACAAATTAATTGACCTCTAATGTCAGTTTCCTCTAGTACATATTTTCTAGGAATGTCCTCCCTTATGTCTATTTCCACTTAAACCTCTAGCCACAATAGTTAACACTAACTCAACACTTAAATGTTTTATTTTCAGCCGGGTGTGGTGGCACACACTTGTAGCTCCTGGTAAGGCAGAAGGATCACCTGAGCCCAGCAGGTTGAGGCTATGGTGGCTGTGAGCATGCCACTGCACTCCAGGCTGGGTGACAGAGTGAGATTCCGACTCAAAAAAAAAGTTTATTTTCTCTCTGGTTTTGCATTTGTTCCCAATTTTGTCTCAGTTTGTTTTGTGCATCTATTAAAATGAGCCATAAGAAATGGTCAATAGTTAACCATTTTTAATGTCAGGTATTTTTAATGCAAATATGTCACTTTTATATGGCTCATCTAAATATGTATTTTACCAACTAAGCTGTAAGTTTCTTGAGGGAAGAGCCCGTGTTTTCACTATCTTGCATTTGATCACATGTTTTATTTGTATGGTAATTTACTTACTTTTATTTGAAAATCCTCTCACACAAGTTACTGCACTCAAAGTAATCCTGTGAGTGATCTAGCAGTTGAAAATATTGGAGCTCACAAAGAATAAATAACCTGCTGAAGATCACACAATCACATAATTGAATTGGAGAACTAACCTCATATCCTGAGACACCAAGTTGAGTGTTTTGTTTTTATTTTCCTCGAGAAGATATAGCCCTATGTCTGCTTAGTGCTTCATGGTGCTAACAAAGACATCATCCCATTTGTAAATAATAATCTGGTAAGATGTCCAGGTGCTATTATACATATTTGATTACTAGAGACTGGAACTCATCCATTTATTCATTCATCCAACAAACATTTACTGCTTTTTCTCCTAAATGCATGCTATCATGCAAAGCCCAGAAAGCAAAAGGATGTAGTCATCTTAACTCCTTCAATCAAGAAACTCACAGTCTAGAACAGGAGATGGGTGCCTCCCTGACTATTGCAAGATGATGCAAGTCTAAATAAATGCTTGTCACAACGTGACAAATGATAAAGATTAGGTGTGTACAGAAAGCTGTGTAAATGACAAGAGGAAATCTTAATTTTCCCTGGGAGTATTGAAAAAGTCTGCTGGAGGGAGTGATACTTGCTTTGTGCTTTGCAAATGTCCTCAGCTGGAAAATAATGAAAAATTCCTCAGAGACACAATAAAAAGCACACTGGCATAGCAGTGCATAGTTTTCTAAAAGGGCTCAAATACTGACTAACTTGCCAAGGTCTCATGGCTGGTAAGTAGCCAACCTGGTGTTGGAACCAGCCTCTTGCTTCCCAGTTAACACACTCCTTTTGCAGTGTTTTATTCAAAGGTGGTAGCACTTAATAAATGTGGTATACTGTGAGGTAACACTTTCCTCATGCTCTCCTAATGCAGACTTTTTTTTCTTCTGCTCTTTTCCAGTATTCCAAGATGTGCATGTTATGATATTTGTTGGCTTTGGCTTTCTCATGACCTTCCTGAAGAAATATGGCTTCAGCAGTGTGGGTATCAACCTACTGATTGCTGCTCTGGGCCTCCAGTGGGGCACTATTGCACAGGGGATCCTACACAGCCATGGACAGAAAATTAACATTGGAATCAAAAAGTGAGCATCCTTGCTGTGGTCTGAATGTTTATGCCCCCCTCCCCATGTATATGTTAAAGTCCAATGTGATGCTATTAGGAGGTGGGGGCTTTGGGAGGTGATTGGGTCATGAGGGCAGAGAGTTCGTGAAGGGAATTAGTGTCCTTGTAAAAGAGCCCAAGAGAGACTCCTCACCCATTCCACTTTGTGAGAACACAGCTAGAAGGCACCATCTATGGACCAGAAAGTGAGTCCATACCAGACACCAAATCTTTCAGCGTCTTGATCTTGAACTTCCCAGCTTCCAAAACTATAAGTCATAGGTTCTTGTTATTTATAAGAAGCCCAGTTTATGGTATTTTGTTAGAGAAAGCTGAACAGATTAAGACAACTCTTTATTTTTCAACCATTGTGTTTTCAGTTCAATTATTTCCCTGCTAGTTCATTGCCATTTAGGCTCTGAGCTGGCTGGTAAATTGTCTCCCTTAGGCAACAGAAATTTTTTAAATCTAAGGATCCAAGTTTATGCCTTGCTCTACTGAGCTGGATCATACATTCATGTCTGTAACCTCTCTGGCTTGATGCTAAGGGTACAAGAAATCCTCTTCCATAAAATTATTATTCCTTCCATCTCAGCTACAGGGAGCAAAACTCTCCCACTAGTTATTTTTTGAAGAGTGTTTTTAAAATGTAAACATGTGCTCCTATTATTGTGAAACAGTAATCACTGTAAGAAATTCATTGATCAGATCAAAAAATAGAGTAAAACCCTAAGTGAGATAAAGGACAAGTAAAATAAATAAGTATATATATATATGTATATATATGTATATATACACACATACACAAATATATATGTATGTGTGTATATATATATGTGTGTGTGTGTGTATGTGTGTATGTGTATTAGAGCAAATAGGTATTATATGGTGAAAAGAAGAGGGAGGGGGTAATAAGTAGGCCCAGGAGAAGCATTGGATGGGCCTGGTGGTAGAAGGGCTTGCACTTTGGTCAGTTTTATTTTGGGTGTGCATTACTTCAGTCTTTTTCTTTCTCTTTTCCTCAGCATGATAAATGCAGACTTTAGTACAGCCACAGTTCTGATTTCTTTTGGAGCTGTCCTGGGAAAAACGAGTCCAGTCCAAATGCTGATCATGACAATTATAGAAATTGCTGTCTTTGCTGGCAATGAATATCTGGTTGGTGAGATATTTATGGTAAGAGTTAGATAACATATACTTACCTAGCTTCGGGCATCCATTCTGGCCACAACACATAAGAGATGCCCTCTACACAGGGGCAAACCTTGGTGAGAGTGATACCAAAGCAAGCAGTAATTTTAGCCATCATTTATTGAGTGCCTATTGTAAACCAGGGATTTTATAAACATTATCTCATTTCATCTTCCCAGCAACACTGTACAGTAGGTATAGTAGTTGCCATCATTTATACACAGCAAAACTGTTTATCACAGAGGCTAAATGACTTATCTGAGTCTGGAGTCACACGCAGTTTTTTCTAACACCACAATTCTTCTGATACTGTATTGCCTACCAATGATCACAGTTTCTATTTATATTTCAACCACTAGGTAAATAGTAGCCTTATATAAAGCTTTATACAGGTTTTTGTTAAGGCCTAAGTCATATTTCTTACCCTCCTTGATTTTCTCAAGGATAAAAAAATAGAATATTTCTGGGCACTCTCTAGCAGTTTGTTATTTTGTTTATACTTCTACAGAACATTTAAATCAATAGCAGATTTTTTTTCTTTTTATTTTAAAGATGTGGGGTACAATTCAGGATTAGGTATACAAATGTTGATTATGCAGGTACCCTTGTTGATGAGATGTGTCCCTCCCTCCCCTGGCAGCTTCCCTCAACTGTTAATCCCACCCCACCTCCCCTGGCAGTTTCCCACTACTGCCAATCCCTTTCTTATAGTATTATGATAATCATTCTAGGTCCGCTTATGAATGAGAACATATGGTACTCTGTTCTTTGTTTCTGTGATAGATCGCTGAGTATGACAGACTCTAAATCCATCCAAGCTGCTGCAAAGCATATGTTTGTCCTTCTTTATGGCTGCATAATACTCCATTGTATATATGTACCACATTTTTAAATCCAGTCCAGCTTCGATGGGTAGCATGATTGGTTCCATGTTTTTGCTATTGTGAACACAGCTGCAACAAACGCATGTGCAGGTATCTTTTTTGTAGAATGATTTGAGTTCCTCCTCGTATATTCCCAATATGAGAATTAACAACAGATATTTGTGACAACTTTCTAGGTGTTGGGGACTCAATGACAAACAAAATAATGAAGGTTCCTGAACTTATAGAGTTTACAAATCTAGTGGAGGAGATGGAAATCAAGCAAATAATGACATAGCCACCTACCCACCAAAAGACACAATCATACACACACATAAATATATTTCTAAATTATAATACATGCTATGAAAAATATGCAGAGGAGAGGTATAAGAAAGTGTAACTGGAAGACCTAATTTAGATTGTAGTAGCAAGGAGGGTTTTTGTTTGTTTCTTTGTTTTGGTTTTTTTTAGTTGGAGTCTCACTCTATTGCCTAAGCTGGAGGGCAGTGGCATGTTCGTGGCCACCGCAGCCTCGACCTGCTGGGCTCAGGTGATCCTTCTGCCTCAGCCTTCCAAGTAACTGGAACCACAGGCATGCACCACTACTTCCGGCTAATTTTTTAATTTATTTTAGAGATGAGGTCTTGGCAAATTGCACAGGCTGGTCTTGAACTCAGTCAATCTCTCACCTCAGCCTCCCAAAGTGCTAAGATTACAGGCATGAGCAACCATGCCCCACCAAGGAGGGGTTTTCTGAGGAAGTGACAGTTAAGCTGGATCTGAAAGGTACCTAGGATTTTCTCATGTAACTAATGGGGAGAAATGCACTTCTAGCCAAGGTAACAGTAAGTACAGAATCTTGAGCTGGTAATGAGGAACTAAAGGAAAATCTTTAGTTGGATCAAGGTAAAAGGGATTAGCTGGTACAACACGAGACCACAAAGGTAAGTAGCTAAAACTAACTAAGACCCTATGGGCTATGTGTGTTGGATGAATAAAGACTAATCTGCTGGTGCCAGAGGGAGAAACAGGGCAGGTTCTTTTGCCCACAAATTTGTGAGCATTTAAAGAAAGACACAGACTCATGCTATTTGTAAAGTCTAAGCATGATTAGTTACCACCTCTCACCCTCCTAAAACTAGGTGGTGAGGCACGGCAAGGCATCTTTAGATGGGAGGAGACTGAGTGTTTTGGGAGGCTAAAGATTGTTAAAAGGGTCAGATATGCTGGAAGGATGCTTGGACTCATTCCAGCCAAGTACGGATCTTCAAGGGGCTACGGAGTCTTCAAGGGAACTGGGTCAATGGCTAATCGAAGGAGCAACAACCAGGAGACTCTTTTTACCTCAATATGAACCAATTTGAAAATCTTAAATAAAATAGACTCGTGTCATTTTCTCACCTTAATAAGTATAAAGTAATGTCTAGGCTTTGTTACTCTGAACTTTCCCTTTAGAAGCAGGAAACGTAGACTACTGGGTCAAATACTAAAGAGAGATCTAAAATATATTTCTTCAAATAAATCTTGGTCCTCAACTGGTTTTCAGGTCATTTAGCAGAGTAAAAAGTATGACGGCAAGACCAGACCCGGTGGTTCAGCCTGTAATCCCAGCACTTTGGGAGAGTGAGGTGGGTGGATTGCCTGAGCCCACGGGTTTGAGACCAGCGCAGGTAACTTGGCGCGACTTCGTCTCTACAATAAATCAAAAAATTAGCTGGGCGTGGTAGCGGGGGCCTGTAGTTCTGGCTACTTGGAATGCTGAGGTGGAAGGATCGCCAGAGCCCAGCAGGTCGACACTGGGGTGGCTGTGAGTGTGCCAGTGCACTACCACCTGGGCAACAGAGTAAGACTCCAACTCAAAAAATAAAAAAAAGTATGAAGACAAACTCTGGGTTTTTCAAACTTCACATCTTGAGTAGCAAATGAGCTTCTAGTACAATGTCAAGTGAATGTAAATCATTTTCATTTTGTATTAAATGCAATACATAATTCACTGAGAATCACCACCACCTAGAGAAGTGACCTAGGATGTATTGTATTTTTTGAATTGGAGTCTCACTCTGTTACTGGTCTCGAACTGGTGGGATCAGCAATCCTCTCTTCTCTGCCTCTCAAAGTGTTGGGATTACAGGCATAAGCCACCATGCCCAACTAGGACAAGCACTTTAAAAACCTGATCTCATCAAAGCCTCACATAACTTTGTTAGGTGGTAATATTTCCCCTTTTCATAGAACCTGGAATTCAAAGAAGTTTAGTAACTTACCTAAAGTCACATTGTAAAGAAGTACTTGACCTAAGATTAAGTCAGTTCTGTGGTGCTCCAAAGTGTGTATTTTTTTTACTTCACTATCTTGTTTTACCCCGCTTTCTCATTCTTTCTTTTTTAATTACTTAACCAACATAGCAGTTCTTTGATTGACATTCCTTCCATAACGAGACTCAGGTTCACCTCTATTTTCATGAATGCCTTTTGTCACCTCAGGCTTCTGATATTGGAGCATCAATGACTATCCATGCCTTCGGGGCTTACTTTGGCTTGGCTGTAGCAGGCGTCTTGTATCGATCTGGTCTGAGAAGCGGGCATGAAAATGAAGAGTCTGTGTACCACTCGGACTTGTTTGCAATGATTGGTGAGTACTGATGAACTTTGCCAGATTCTTGTCTATTTGATCAGGTATGAAGGACAGTTAACTCCAACAAGGGTGTGAAGATGCTCAAAAAAAGAACATCCTAGCTGAGCACAGTGGGACATGCCATTAGTCCCAGCTACTTGAGAGGCTGAGGCAGGAGGATGGCTTGAGCCCAGGAGTTCAAATTCAGCAAGGTCAACATAGTAAGACTCTAACTCTAAAAAAAGAAAAAATTAATAAGTAAAATAATTTTTTAAAGAAAGTAACATCCTTCGAATACTACTTTATTTATGCTGGTCTAATATTCTTCTTTTCTCCTAACTCCAGATAACTAAGCCTGAAAGTAGAGACATTGTCAGGGCCCAAAGCAAACTCCCTCCCCTGGACTGCCTTCCATGTTCAGAACTAATTTTTCTTCTTGTGGTTTGCTCAGGGACTCTCTTTCTATGGATGTTTTGGCCCAGTTTTAATTCGGCCATTGCTGAAGCTGGAGACAAACAGTACAGAGCCATCGTAAATACATACTTCTCTCTTGCCGCCTGTGTAATCACAGCCTATGCATTCTCCAGCCTTGTGGAACACCGAGGCAAGCTTGATATGGTGAGTGCTGTCTTAACCTCCATGGAAATTTAACATGTAGTGACACTGACATTTGCTCAGATAAGTAGCAGGTCATTTTTACATCACTACTGATCTAGCAGGACAAATCACCAAACTGCAGACCTTGGAGAATGTTTTGAGGAAGAAAATGCATATTTATGTATTTATTTAGTCATTAAATTTGTACTCTGGCAAATTAAAAAGTGTTCTCAAAAATATTTACAATCTAGTAGAGAATGAATGTATTCATGTACAAATCAAAGTTTTGATGTATTTTTCTTTAATGTCAGAGCTAACTACTCCCAATTCTTCGGAAATCTCCCTTAAGAAACAAGACGTAGCGAGTGCAGTGGCTCACACCTGTAATCCCAGAACTTTGGGAGACGGAGGTGAGAGGATTGCCTGAGCCCACGGGTTCGAGACCTGCCTGGGCAACATACTGAGACCTTGTCTCCAAAATAAATCAAAAAATTAGCTGGGCATGGTAGTACATGCCTATAGTTACAGCTACTTGGAAGACTGAGGCAGAAGGATCACCTGAGCCCAGCAGGTCGAGGCTACAGTGACCTGGAGCGTGCCACTGCACTCCAGCCTAGGTGACAGAGTAAACTCGTACCCCAAAAAAAAGACTCGTCAAAGACTAGAAAAAGAGAGTGGGATGGCTGGTTCTCTTTTCCCACCTGCAAGTATTCCCCTCAAAGAAATAACAATGACATGCAATGGGGAATCCTTGGTAGGATACTGAGAAAGGAAAAGGACATTACTGGGAATAATGGTGAAATTCATATAAGGTCTTTAATAGTATTATATTAATGTTAATTTCTTTTCTATGACCATGACGATGTTAACACTGGGGGAAACTGGATGAGGGATGAGGAAACTCTCTGTAGTGTTTTTGCAACTATTGCGTGTTTAAAATTACTTCAAACAAAAATTTTTCTATATCCTCTTAAGTCAGTCTCTTGCATTTCTTGCCTGTGAGCTGGGAAAACATCAGTAAGGAGTAACCTTCAGATTCAGTTACTCTTTTTTAACCTGGGGAAGGGAAAAGATATTGTAATTTATTTTTAAAGCATGGCTGAGGACATGTATTTCAGTTCTCCACAAATTGCCTTATAAGAGATAATTGAAAACAGTGAAAAGAAAATAATTATACATGTACAGTTCAGTAGTTCTCTTTTAAAAGTACTGATAAGGCCGGGCATGGTGGCTAACACCTATAACCCCAGCACTTTGGGAGGCCGAGGTAAGAGGATTGCCTGAGCCCACAGGTTTGAGATCAGCCTGAGCAACCTGGTGAGACTTCATCTCTACAAAAAATCAAGAAAAAATGACTGGGCATGGTGGCACATGCCTATAGTTCCAGCTACTTGGAAGGTTGAGGTGGAAGGATCACCTGAGCCAGCAGGTCGAGGCTGCGGTGACTGTGAGCATGCCACTGCACTCCAGCCTGGGTGACAGAGTAAGACTCCTACTCAAAAAAAAAAAAATTAAATAAATAAAAGTACTGATAACCCCTTCTCCTAAGGCAGAACAGTCAGAATGTAGTTTCTCTGAGGAATTCTAGTAAAGAGAAGTTGATTCTCCCTCCATTCTCAGATGTTCTTAGTTCACCAACCCTTCAAAACCTCTTCTTTGATATGGAATGTATACACTTCAGTGTCTCTACATTTCCTCTTTGAATGTTGGAATACCATAGACTCTACAAGCACATAGTGGTTGTAGTCTTTTGATTCATGATAACCACAAATGTTTTCCAACAACTACATAACTAGACACAATACTGCTAGAAATATTTGTTTTATACCCCCCCCCCCGCAGCCTCCCACTACAACTTTTTTTTATTTTCTCCTATGCATCTCACCACTGGTGTCATTAACCTGACTACTCATCCACTACCAAGGGACACCGGCAAGAAAGACAGAAAATGTCAACTACTTGGATGAAAGACTTTTTGTAATTACAAAGAACCCTATTCAAAAAAAAAAAAAAAAAAAAAGGCCGGGCATGGTGGCTCACGCCTGTAATACAGCACTTTGGGAAGTGGAGGCAAGAGGATTGCCTGAGCCAAGCTTATCTGAGGGTTCAAGATCAGCCTGGGCAACATGGTGAGACCTCGTCTCTACAATAAATCAAAAAAAATTAGTTGGGTGTGGTGGCACACAACTGTAATCCCACAAGGGAGGCAGAGATAAAAGGATTGCCTAAGCCCAGGGGCTCAAGACCAACCTGCAAACTTGGCAAGACCTCATCTCTACAACAATCAAAAAAAATTAGCTGGGTGTGGTGGTGCACACCTGTCATTCCAGCTACCTGGAAGGCTGAGGTGGAAGGACCGCCTGAGCCTAGCAGATCAAGGCTGCCATGGCCATGAGTGTGCCATTGCACCCCAGCCTGGGCGACAGAGTGAGACTCCAACTTAAAAAAAAAAAAATCAGTAACTCTCTCAACTGTAGAATGTGCCATGAGTCCACTGAACTCTAAATTCTTCCAATCCTTCTGAACTCTGCCTTGTTCAATGCATCTCATTCCTGTTTCTACCTTCCACACAGGTTCACATTCAGAATGCCACCCTTGCTGGAGGAGTTGCTGTGGGCACTTGTGCGGACATGGCAATTCGCCCATTTGGTTCTATGATCATTGGGAGCATTGCAGGAATTCTCTCCGTGTTTGGATACAAATTCCTGACTGTAAGTATGACAGACGTTCTCAGTAACTTTGAATTTGTACCATTTTTCTCTCACATCTCACCTGCAGAAAATACCTGGAAGTTTCCTTTCATAAGCTCTTTTTCTTGTTTAGAAGCCATTTGCCTTCATTTCAGAAATACCACCCGCATTTCAGTGGCACGGTGGAACTCTTCCCTGACTTCTGTGTAACAGGAGAGAGTATTTTTTATTACGAATTGTGTGTTCAGTACTTATGTGTTACTTCCCTCCAGGGCAGTTCCATTTTTGTTTTGTTTGTTTGTTTTGTATGATTATGGACTCTGGGCTCTTTTAGGGGATTTAGGATGTCATCAGTAGGTAAGAAGTAGAACTCGAAATCACTCTCCTCAAACCTATGCACCAAACACTGAAATGACAGTTTTGCCACCAGTATATTCAAATCCTTTTACTTAAGTGGACTTCAGATATGGATGAGGAACTGAACTGCAGATAAAATTACTTCCTTTGGGCTGGGAAGGAAATAGGGAGACATAGACCAAAGAATACAAAGTGACAGACTTGTAAGATGGAAAAAATCTAAAGATTTAATGTACAAGTTGAGGGCTATAGGTAATAAAACTGAACTGAATATAGGATTTATGATGAATGTGTCAGTTTTAGCTGTTCTTACCACACACAAAATATGAGTAACAACTATGCGAGATGAGAGATGTTCATTTTCTTCACTGTAGAACTTTGTACTTTATATGTATTCCCATAACATCATAGTGTATACCTTAAATATAAACAACAAAATTTATTTATAAAAAAAACATTTCTGCCTGGTTATTTACTTTAGTTACAGAGCTCTGTATATATACCAAAATAACAAGAGTTTCTCTTTTTACAATTTTAGCCACTTTTTGCTACTAAACTGAGGATCCATGATACCTGTGGAGTACATAATCTGCATGGTTTACCTGGCATGATGGGAGGCCTCGCCGGCATCGTGGCAGTCGCCATGGGAGCATCTGACACGTGAGTACAAAAATGAGTGTTCCAGCCTCGTGGTCCCAAGATATTTTCTCTCACTCTTTGAGATATCCAGTAATGGGAGAGCATTTTTTTCCTAGCAGTTCAGGTCAGTTTGAAGTATTTATTGGATCCAAAGAGACACAACTGAGGGAAGAGAGTTAGAATAGAATTATATTGGAAGATATGTCTTCACAAACATTTTTAATGTTTCCTTAAAAAAATAATGGTGTTTGCATGTTCTCACTCATATATGGGAGCTAAACGGTCACAAAGATGGAAATAATAGATACAGGAGACACCAATAAAGGGGGAGGTGGATGAGAAGTTAGGGTTCAGAAACTACATGCAAAGTACAATGTTCACCATCTGGGGAATGGGCCACCTAAGACTCAATCCATAAAACTACGCAATACATGTATGTGTACACAAACATGCATGTGTACTCCCTGAATCTAAAATAAATTTTTTTTTTAAATTAAGAGTGTTAATTTAAATGTCTCTACCTTAGACAGCTGTATCCTAGCAGGTAGGACAATTTTATCATCACAGTCAGATTACAGCAATCTTACGCTTTTTCTTGATCCCTCTATGGAGGAGGGAACACATGTGATGAGTTGAATAGTCACTATCATCCAATCTACATAAAGAAGAAAGAGTTAGAATAATGTGGAAAGCAGTTGGATCTGCAAAATCAATAAGACTGGCATATTTTTCCAACTCTGCTACTAACTAGCTATGTGATGTTTGAGATGTCACTCAGCTTTTCTGATTCTCAATTTCCTCTTCTGCAGAATAAGAAAATTTGGCTATTTAATCTCTAAAATACCTTCCTGCTCCGACAGACCTAGAGTCTTCCTTAAGGTGGCCATAAATATTTATTTAAATAACCAGAGGAAAAAATAGCTATCAGTCAAACCCAGGAGAATAGAAGGGATACCATAGGCCATCAGTTGTCACTTTTAGGCAGCAAGATTGAAACAATTGGATATGAATATCATTCATGCAAAACAGCTGAAAAGATCATAGAGTCCAGGTCATACAGAGTAAGTAAAGAGGAATCAGACTGCTCAGTTTTTAAATCCAATTGAAAGTATGAAGGGGAATGTGTGTCTAGAAATGTCTCACAGTGACCACTGACTGGAGTTGCATAATTTGAAAAGAAAAATCTTCTCTTCAATCTCAGCAGATTAAAATTTAGCCCTGTTGAGATCAATAATAATACATATATCAAAAAATCATTTCATCATATTTTCTAATGAGTAGGAAGTTTTTTTCCTCCTTCGTGTGTATAGTTAACTCATTTGATATGTGTTTTTTAACTCTGTCTGTAAATTTGGAGAATGACCCCAGAAATTGTTTGTTTTTTCAGTTCTCTCCAGGCCAAACACTGTTGAGACCAAACACTGAAATATTTTAATGCAAATCAAGCAATGATAAAACCACAAGTTAATGAGCTCAACTCCTAAGTGTTAGAATGTGCACACACTGTGCAAACTTAATAAGAAGTGCCTCAGGATTAGGAATTCTTGAGCATCATGCCTAGACCAGTTCCACAGACGCAATAAAACAAGTGTTTCTGGTTCTCAAAGACCAGGCTCACTGGGGGGCCAGGCATTAAGTCTCATGATTGAGGGTCTAGTCCTTGGGTATTCATTCAGGCTTAGAAACATCTTCTCGACTTATTCGTTAGCAGAGGAAACAGGCTGAGGAATTTCAGAGGAAGGGAGGGGGCAAGCCTTAAAGGCCCATTCACGTTGGTAAAATTCACACACCTCACACCAAATAAAATATCTCACGCCAAATATCATGTCTGAGAGCCAAGACTCTTCACATGTGTTTATTTAGAATATTAAAATACAAATCAGGTTTTTGGTAATCATAGAACAAGGGAAAGTTAATATTCATAAGGGACATTTTTTGCAAATTATGACAGCCTAACTCTAGTAATGCTATTAATTTTGTTTAACTCGGTGTTTTCCAAGCCTATTTGATCATAGAACAGCCTTTAACAAAAATATCTCCTAAAACCTTGTAAAAGATCTTGGCAAATTCCTGTAAAATTAACAGGCAGTTTACAAAAGAAAAAAATCAAATAAATAAGTATATATAAAAATTCAATCTCGCTAGTAATCAAAGAAATGCAAATTAAAGCAAATTGCAAGCTTTTCACCTATCAAAGTGAGGAAGAATAAATGAATAATAATACTGCATGGTGGCTAAAATATTGCAATGGAGATATAAATTGCACCATTTCTTATTTTTAAAAGTCCTTAAGAAGTATATAAAATCTTTTACTAATAATCTCATTTCTAGATAAGTTTTATATTAGGAAAATAATTGGACAGGTTCATAAGGGTACTCAGAAAAATATATGTTCTCATGGCATTTATAAAAATATGAAACACTGGAAGTAGCCTGAATATCATCCTATAAACTATAAATTATAAGTTATAACTGTAGGACATTTGTACAGTATTTCAAGGCAATTCAAATTGTGGTCCAGATCTACCTTTACTGACAAAGACGATACCAAAGACATGTTTAGAGGGAAAATGAGTATTATAGCATGATTGAACTTTTATATTTTTACCCTTGATGCTTTTCCTTTTCTTTTTTATTTTCAGTTTCCTTTTCCTTTTTACCCTGATACTTTTCCTTTTCTTTTTTAATTTTCAGTTTCTATTATTTTTACAATGATGAGTATTACTTGTGAAATTTTTATATATTAGAACAATTTAAACCCTTCAAATAAATAGAAAAAAACAAATCTGAGTTTAGCACATTCTCTATCTTGGATGAGGAGGGTTGAACACGAATAAACCCTCATTTTCCAGTTGTTTGCTTTTCTGGATTCATTCATTCAGTCTTTCAACAACTCTTTATTAATGGCCTGCTATGAATGAGGTACTGTGCTAAACAGTTTCCCACATTCCTAGTTCATTTGTCACTTATGTAACACCCTTATGAATTTCAATAGCCTTTTAGCACATTATTCCTTTCCCCAAACTATACATATATGTATGTAAATATATATATCTTTGTACAGTATATATATATGTTTTACTAATCTCATTTTGAAGTAATGACGTCTAAGATAACATAGAGATATGCTTATATATCTTCATTGAGTTGTCTACAGTATATGCTGAAATTTGATTTTCTGACATTAGTGATAGATTTTATAATTTCATTATAACTGTTCTTGAGAATGGGATGAGGAGCAGTGGTAGTCCATATTGGTTTATACATTATTCTGCCCTCAGTGCTTAATAGAGAAGCTGACGCAGAGCGAGTACTCAATAAACATTTACCAAATGAATCAGATCGAGGATCAATTTTGAGAAGGTTAAACGCTTTATTAAAAAGGTCTTCTTATCATTTCTAAGGATACATTAAAAGGTGATTTTGTTTAAGTGTGTCTGAAAATTTTCCAACATTGCTCAAGAGTTTCAAAAAAATACAAACATAAAAAAAAGTATGACGAATGTATATCCAGCAACCGGTATGTAATGCTGAACTCTGGCCCCAAGATGGCAGGCGTCCACACCTCAGTGAGTGAGATTTGTTTGCTGGTGTCCAGGAAAAACAGAATTCTCTTCATTTGGCTTTCTAGGTCTACAATGGCCATGCAGGCAGCTGCACTGGGTTCGTCCATCGGAACAGCAGTTGTTGGAGGTCTGATTACAGGTCAGCATAAAAAGTGAACACTTCCCTGAACCTCATGCTCTCAGAAGATTAATAATAGATGATTTATAAGCAAGTCAATTGGTAAATCCAAAAATGTTCTAAACTTCTGGCAACAAAGTAACCGTGTCAGCTTAAGGGGGTGATTTTATAACAGTATTTTAACTGCTATGCAAGGAGATTTTCCTTTTCAGCATCATATCATGACTTTTTCCCCTTCCCCTTTGCAGGTTTAATTCTAAAGTTACCTGTCTGGAGTCAGCCATCTGATCAGAACTGCTTTGATGATTCTCTCTACTGGGAGGTACTGTACAGTATTCTAAACAAGAATGTAAATGAAAACTCCACTAATGAAACTTTTGCTCACTTCAGGTTTAGATGTCTGTGTGGCATATGTGTGATGAAACTGGATGAATTCCCTATTTAGAGAGAATTTGAAACAATATGCCCATCCAGATATAATCAGAAGTTACGATATTTTCCAAAGCAAAAACTAGATGAAGAAAAGACAAAATTTAATTGACAAATGTCCTTTTACTCCTCTGAGAGTAATACAAATCCACTTATAAAAATAATAGGAGGCCAGGTCATGCCCGTAATCCCAACACTTTGGGAGATTGAGGTGAGAGGATTGCCTGAGCCCAGGAGTTCAAGAACAGCCTGGACAACATAGCGAGGTCTCGGCTCTACAAAAAATCTAAAAATTAGCCAGCCATGGTGGCACACACCTGTAGTCCCAGCTACTTGGGAGTCTGAGGTGGAAGAACTGCCATGCCCAGGAAGTCAAGGCTGCAGTAGCCATGATCATGCCACTGCACTCTAGGCTGAGTGTCAGAATGAGACTACAACTTAATAATAATAATAAAGACAATCACAATAATTATAATAATAATAATAATAAAAAGGAATTCTGGACAATAGTGTGAGTTTTTTTCTTTTTTCTTTTTTCTTTATTTTAAAGATGTGAGATACGAGCCGGGCTCTGTGGCTCAGCCTGTAATCCCGCGCTCTGGGAGGCTGAGGTGAGCGCATTGGCTGAGCCCGCGGGTTTGAGACCTGCCTGGGCAACTTGGCGAGACCTCATCTCTACAATAAATTTTAAAAATTAGCCGGGTGTGGTAGCGCACACCTGTAGTTCCAGCTACTTGGAAGGCTGAGCGGAAGGATCGCCGGAGCCCAGCAGGTCGAGGCTGCGGTGGCCGGGAGCATGCCACTGCACTCCAGTCTGGGTGACAGAGTGAGACTCCAACTCAAAAAAAAAAAAAAGATGTGAGATACAATTCAGGGTTAGGTATACAAATGTTCATTATGCAGGTACCCTTGTTGAATTGTGTGAGATTTCATACCATATGTAATCTGCAGGTTTATTTGGTGGTTAAAAAGTTAAAAACAAAAATAATTAATTAAAAAATATATCATATGTGAAAGTAGACAAAAGCAAGTGGAATATGTAAGGCTGAAGAATTTGAGTACACATTTAGAGGTCCTATGAATAACAAAACATCAGCCTCTTTCTATCCTCTAGTTTCTTTTTACTCTATTGACATTTTCTCCCTAATTATTTCCTGCAAAGCTTGAGAGGGATAGGTATTTGTATGTTTTCAGCAGTATTTCAGAAAGAATTGGTTTGAAAAAGAGGGAATACAGTCATGGTGAATGAGATAAACATTTATTCTTTTACTTTTCTCCGAGTCAAACAATTTTTATTCCCAGTTCTTTCTAAGTCTGGGTAATGATTACTGAAAATACCTTTGTTTCAATACTAACCTCTGACAAGCCCAGTGAAAGAAACTATTAAGTACCCAAACTTGTTTTCTTTAAAGGTCCCTAGGTGGAGAGAACATGACAATCACGTCCATGGACTTGGTGACCACAATCAGTTGGAACCTGAGATCTAAATATCATTCCTGCACTCCAGTTTCCTTCCCCATTATCAAAAGTCAATAAATAACCAAAGAAAATATGGACCAGAGTGAATGGATCCTAATCCCCAAATGGCCATTGTAAAAATGTCCTTAAATATAGTGCTGTCTCTTGCTATTTAATGATTGTTTAGTTGAGAGGTGACTCAGAAAACAGATGGTCAAATAGATACTATCCAGAACTCCCAGAATGCTTTTGCCAGTGGGTAGGTACAAAGTGAGCATTTGATGTATATTTTTGTATTTTTCCCAGTAGGTGTCAATTTACATAGACGTCAATACTTTCTAATTATGTCAGTTTCTTAATGTAGACACTGTCTTCAATCCTAAGGATTATAAAGTTAAGGCCAATGAAACAAGAAATCTACATAAGGAAAATGTAAGAAATCTACATAAGGAAAATGAAAGAAATGCCTATATGTAAAGCAATAATATGATTGTTTTAAGTAACACTTTTTTTTATTTTAAAAGTGGTCTAGTTAGTAGTTATACCTTTGCTTGAATATTCTTATTCTTAATTTCTCTTGTCTATTTACTATTTGCAAAAAAGTTCAAATACTATCTAACCAAAACCTATTTTGTATAAAATTTCCAAGAACTAAATGTTGTTATAAAATAAAGCATTAGTCTTTGACTCTCCTTTCTTTGGTGGTTGTAATTCATTTCAGTAACAAGCACACACATACGTACACATACACATTCCTCATATTCAGTCCATCTCTATCCAGATATATTCTATCACTCATTATGCATTTGCTACAAAAACTTAGTCTCATGTAAATTACAAAGAATTTAATTTTAGAAAAGGCAACTGATGATGTCAAATAAAATCATTTTTAAGAAAATCATATAAATTCTTTTTTTCTATCTCAAAGCTTTTAAGAATTTTCTTCTAGCCTCAGAGTTCTAGAATCTTACCAAGATGTGCCTAAGTATCAATAAGAAAATAATTCCCACTATAATTAACAGAACCTCATTTTCTGAATGCTGGAACTCAAGAATTACAACTAACAGTGAATTATTTTGATATTTAATTCCTTGAAAAAATATATAATTTGTCATAGTTGACTTATTTCAAACATACATCAGGACTTCTTTCAAATAGGTTTTTTGAAGCGTGCTCAGTTATAAAGTCCTCTCCTCTCCCTTCTGATCATTACAAGGAATCATTTTCACTGTCAGGGTGTCTGAGACCCCTTTGCCTCCTGATGAACATAAAGTAAATCTTGAAGGGTCTTGGTTGTATACTCAGGTGTAAAAGAAAGTCTATCATTTGAACGTGCTAAGCAACTGGGTCTGGCCATCAGTCCCTGGCTGGTGAACACTTCTGCCTTTCTGCAATGCAGTTCTTATAAACAGTAAGTCTCATTTTTCAAATTCTCAGTTGGTGGTCATTTTTTTCACAGCAGTGTATTATCTTTTTTTTTTTTTAATCTATCTTGCCTGGAATTTAGTGAAGCATTTTAATCTGATGACTTGAGTCTTCTGTTCAGATAAATTTCCTTCTACTACTTAGTAACATCTTCTCTATTTTTTGTTGTTGGTTTTTTTTGTTGTTTTTTTTTTTTTTAGCACTCCTGTTAGTCATGTGGAAAGTACACTGGGTCTGTTATCCAAATCTATTTTCTTCCCAGACTTTATTTCATTGGCTTAATTCATCTATTTCTTCAACTTACTTTTTGTTTGTTTGAAAATCATGGTTCATTTTTGTAGGTTCAGTGTGTGTGTGTGTGTGTGTGTGTGTGTGTGTGTGTGTGTGTGTGTGTATACACATGCACATATATATGCTGTGCTTGAATCTATTCAATTATTTTCATGATTTTGTTTATTGGGGGTGATGTTTTTGTTCAAGTTTAAAATCTGTCAACACTTAAATAACACTATACCTTATCTGTTCCAAAAAAAACTTAAGGTATTAAATAATACTATTTGTGATAATTGGTTTATTTGATTAAAAACCTCAAACTCTATTTAGATGATAGATTTCAGGAAGTTTTTGTTATTCTTTGTTCTTGTCTAAATCTGAAGGATTGGCCCATAATTGCTAACTGCAATTTCAGACAGTTTGGTGAAAACTGAGACCTTCAGGTTTTCCCTAGCCCTTGTTTTCATAGTCTTTAACCTATTTATTGCACAAGATGAGAGAACTCTGCTGATCCAGTGGGAGTCAGGGGAGGCTTCTCCAAAAGCTCTATTTTGTTAGAAACCATTTACTTTGTGTGTTTTCTTGATTCTCTTCACCAAGTGCTAGAACCCCAGTAGGTGGATTGTTCATTTATTTTGTCTATTTGCTGGGGATTAAACTCCAACTGATGAGGTACCTTAAGTAGCAAAAATCTTAAAAATAAAGGAAGTACAACAATCTGTGACTGGATGGATCAAAGATTTCTCCAAATGCCAAAATATAATTCTCCTGAATTGGCACCTAAGGAAAATCTCTTTGTTCCTGTCTTTTCAGCAAGTAAAATTTGGTGTTCTTCTAGAATCAGCACCAAATGGGAGCTCGATGTATCTACTACCCTCCTGGAGGTCAGGGGTAACTAGGAAGACTCACTTTCATCCCAGGAACACTCAGTTGGGTAGCTACATAAGCATGTCCTGGGAATTCACAGATCTCTGCAAACTAGTGATACCCAGAACCTCATCACATGGGTCTCTAGCAACTGCCTCCAAACTCTTAGTTAACACAGAGGAGAAAAGTTTTCTATCAGTTGTTGTTGTTGTTTTCCCAGAACCTAAAGGTCTTAAATCCTTCAGTTTCAGTCACTGCTCCAGTCAGGGGAGGCCTTATAGTTGGGTTAGAATTGTGGGCAGGGTCAGGAGGAACACATTGAAGCTCCCATGTCCTCACTTAAATAAGGTACAAAGATGTCACTCCATGTGTTTTAAAAACAGGTGTTACATGTTCCATTTAAAGATAAAAATGCTGAATTGTACCCCACATTTTTAAAATAAAAAAATAAAAATAAAAAAGTAAAATGAAAATTTAATTTCTTAAGAGTTGACACAACTCATTTGTTCTTGGTTATCCTCACAGCTTGAACAGGGCATACGATTTAGGAATGCTTGTTCAGTACATGAATAAACAGTTGAATGAATAAATTGAATAAATGAACAAAAAAATGAGCCTCAAGACGCAAAGTGAACCTTTTAAAAAATTGCTCTGATTACTCATTAATTCAATAATAATTCACTGAGTGCCCGCTAAGGTCCAGACTCTGTAACAAAGTCACATAAGACAAAGTTTTTTATTTCAAAAAATTTTTTTTTAAGTTTGCAGCTTATCCAGAAATATAGCTAGTGGACCAGTGACATACTAAAATGTGAAAAGTGCTAGAATAGTTGCAAACATTGGGTGCTATAAATATGGGGAAAATCTAAATCAAATCCAGCCATTCAAGGAAAACTTGCCAGAAAAAAAAAAATTACTTTAAAAAAACATACAAGACCCAGTGTTACGGCTGTCACCTATAATCCCAGCATTTTAGAAAGCCTAGGTGGAAAGATCTCTTGAGGCCAGGAGTTCAAGACCAGCTTGAGCATCACAGCAAGACTTCATCTCTACAAATTTTATTTTTTGAATTACCTGGGTGGGGTGGCTCAGACCTGTAGTCTTAGCTATCTAAGAGGATGAGGAAGGAGGATGTCTGGAGCCCAGGAGTTGGAGGCTGAGATGAGTTATGATGGCATCATTGCCCTCTAGTCTGGGTGACAAAGTGAAACCTCATCTTATAGAAAAAAAGAAGAGAAAAAAGAACAAAAGGAGGAAAAAGGAAACATGCAGCTAAGCAGAGATTGAATTAAGATTCAACTCGACTAAAAATAAAGCCAATACTCTTTTCCCTGGAGACCACCTTGTTCATGAAATGAAAGATTGGAAGTCTGTTCAACCAATTATTTATTCTTCTTTTTTACTAAGATAGGAGTTATTTGTGTGTGAGTGTTAACATGGATGTGGGTAGGTGGGTAGATCAGGTTAGGACATTAGCAAATGGGAAGGGTCTGTTAAAAACCCATGAACTATCAGATCTCTCCCCTTCTTACATGATTTCCTGAATCATCCACCTTCATCCCTATCCACCCTCAGACCTAGGTTCACTTTTGTTTTGGAAGTGCAAAATTCAGTCTTTTGTAATGAATAAGCTTGACTTTTATCCTGGCCTTATTTTGCTGGGTGTTCATTGAAAATCTCTCAAGAGTAATATCTATTCTAGCTTCATCCAACATAAATGAGAGTAGCTATAGTGTACCCTGACCTTGTTAACCAGACAGTCAATTCCAACGCTTAATTTGATAGCAAAAATAAACCAATCAGATTTCTTCTGGATAAAGTCCTTTTCCCTTCTTTTGGTGCCTATTAGTATGCCTTGCCTTAAGCTTAATCCCTGCTTAGTCTTTTACTGTTTAAGTATCTTTAGACAAAAAAACTTTCTGAGTCTATTTATTCAGTTTTTTTAAGGTGATAATTATTTTGCAGCATTACTTTGAGAATGGGGCACAATTCAGTACATAGCAATCATCAGATTCTGGCACCTCATTCAAATTTCACCAAATCCTCCAATGATGTCCTCTATAGCAAAAGGATCTAGTTCAGAATCAAATTTTGTATTTACTTGTCTTGTCTCTTTAGTCCTCAGGAATTGTAGTCCTTCTGGAACTTTCCTCAGTATTTCTCTGACATACATGACCTTGTCACTTTTGAAGATTGTAGGCTAGTTATTTTGTAGAATGTTCCCATTTGGATTGTCTGATGTTTCCTCATGATTAGGTTTAGGTCATATAACTTTAACAGTGATATCACAAAAGTGAACCTGTATGCTGAATTGTATCCTACCAGGAGGAACATTTTTTTAACTTGTTCCATTATTTATGATTGTTCATTTGAAACATTGATGAAGATGGCATTTTTTTCTCCCTTTAAGATTTTTTGTCTTAATCTTTGTAGCTAGTAATTTTTGTGTGTGTGGGAAAGCAATGGGAAACGTCCCATGTCCCTATGTCAGTGTTCCATTCCTCCTCAACCTTGCAATTGAT